CCCTTGATGAAAATTAATGTACATTCTCTAAATCTTACCAGACAGGCTCAGTGGCAGTGGTCATGGTGAGACTGGTTCATAAAATATGTCAACAATGAAACAAATATGTATTTAAGAGTCACTGACAGATCACGAAATGGTCACAGAACTTGCAAATATTTGGGGCCTACACTGTAAAAATTACATATGTCACGGCTATTTGACATCAATTATATTTGACAACACGAATTCAGTGCAATCTTCTTTATTCTTTTATTCTATACTTGTCAAAGTAGGGCTTCCCTGGCCCTCCGAATGAGGTAAAGTCTTCCTCCTGAGTAGACACTTAGTTTCCCAGGCTTCTATTTTCTTAATACTTTAACATAGTTGATTATAAGCAATTTAACTACATGAAATTCTTCAAGAGCAAAAAAGGTATGTGTCTAGCTTACTCAGTATAGTGGGTTGAATTAATATATGAAGATTATTAGTGTCTCTAGGATGGCCTAAAATATTAGGCCACAAGGTTGGACAAAAACATCTTTAAGCCTCACTTTTATAGAACTATAGAGAGTTTTGCCTTATCTCGTAGTAATAAACATCCCATAAGATCCCAGTAAGAAAAATATTGCAGAACAAAACAGAATCCCTGCCTTTTGTCTCACGTTTTCCCTTCCACACCAACAACCTCTTTTTTCCTCCCTTTGGTTCTCACAGTCTACAAAGTCGTAGAAGATGCCAGATGTTTGGAAGAGTCTGTCCCACACGTCCTAGATTTTTAAACTAGAAGCAAGATTTATTACAGCTACATAAATGTAATTGCAGTCTTAATGAGGCCCCTTGTCAAATAGAACAGTTCTTATACACGGAGGGTTAGCATCAGGGCCAAACACTCGAAATAACCACAGGATATTAATGGAACAACAAATTTTGCCCACAAACTGTTTCCCTCTAGGAAATTTTAATTCACATGAATTTTTCAAGAAAACCCCTTTGCATTTAGGCAACGTTCTAAAGTGAGGCTGAAATGAGTTGCGTATAAATAAATATACAATAACCCCGGGGGTTAGTGCCTATGCAGAGACAGCCAGTGCCTCAAATTACAATCTTGTCCTACTGCATAGTTTCTGAAAGAACAGGCTAGAAACCACTCTCTTGTTCCTTCCATGCTTAGGTGCTGTGCAGCTAAGCACTCATCTGGGTGCAGGAATTGAAGTACAAGTGGAAGCTGGCTGGGCTGGGCCTCGTGCTGGGGAATCCCACGTGCTCCTGAAAAGCTGCTGAGTATCCCAGCAAGGACGAATGAAGGCTTTTCCTCTGCTCCGAAATGGGTCTCACGCCTTCCACAAAGCTGTAAGCAACTTTTCTTTTCTAAGGCTCCTTACGTAAGAGGTGAAGAGTTATTACTTTTTCCTACAATAGTTACTTGATAAGAATTTTCTGGGCACTGTCTGTGTGCAGTATGTATAGTTAAACTTCCTAAAGGAAGACTTAGGAAATACATCCCTTAGGAAGTTTAACTCCATGCTCTGTGCAGAGCCAGTGACCCCCAAATTTGTATCCAGTAACTATTGCAGGAAAGAGAAATAACTTCAGAGATGCATCTCTTTGCTAACCAATGCAACCCCAATAAATTTAAAACATAATAAAAGTAAAATAAAGCAAGTAACTAGGGAAGAAGAAAATGCATCCCTAGTATTCCTGATTTTTTTTCTAGGATTAAAAATCCTTCTAGAGCCCTGACTGGTGTTGCTCAGCGGGTTGGGTGTTGCTCTACAACTGAAATGTCACTAGTTTGATTTCCAGTCAGGGCACATGCCTGGGTTGTGGGCCAGGTCCCCGGCCGGGGGAGTGTGAGAGGCGATTGATCGATGTTTCTCTCACACATCAATGTTTCTCTCTCCCTTCCCCTCACTCCGAAAATAAATAAATAAAAAATTTAAAAAATGTACAGAATCTTGGAAGTGAATGGAATACCACTGGGGGTTTTACTCAAACACTTAAAACATTTCATCATTGAGTTGCCTTTCTTTAGATATGATCCAAACACCCACTGAATTCTAAACAGTTACAAATCACTTTCAATTATCGCATGGATTTGTAAAGATCATGAGAAGGTGCCACTGACTCAATTCCTGTTTTCTCTGGCAGATGATTGCATGCCACTGTTAACATTGTTGATGAGCACATAATAAAAAAACAACCTATAAAACATATAAAATGGGACGCGAGTGCAGCAGACAGAGATGGCTCATGCAATTGTCAGTAAAAGAAGTGAAAGTTCTGATGAAAAGATGCTAAAAGCCCACGAGTGATGGGATGCAGGTGCTAACCAAAGAGAAGGTTATTATACATAATTTTTGTTGCATTACTGACTTGCTCCCTGGTCGTTGCTGCTGCATTCATGAACACTGTAACACTGTCATCTCGGATGCATCTGTGTGGGAATTGCATTTGGCACATTTGACTAATTTCTATGAGAAATCTGGGAAGTAACACTTCACACTGGGAGAAGTAACAGCAAGAACAAATTTTGCTCCGTAGGTCTGTGTTGGTGGTCAGTTCTCATGGTCATAGCAAAACCCAAAGAAAGAAAACTGGGAGGGTTTTCTCAGAGGTCTCTAGCATTAATGAATTAACTGAGATGGGGAACTATGGGTATGAATATATATTAATGTAGGACTAACCGCCGGCTTTCCTTCTAATGAAAACGCTTGGTGGTTTCAACTTATTAGTGTTTCAGTCAAATGATCTTCCAGACTTTTAATTACACATGTAATTGGCATCAAGGAAAGCCAACTGACAGAAAGCTTAAGGATTTGTTTTACATTAAAAGAGCAAACCCGCACTAAGGAAAAAAAGACAATTAAGAAGTCACCGTTCCTCTTACAAGTTAAAAAGCCCATATTCTCATTCTTAATCACATCCTGCTCTAAGTATCAAAGTCCACACATCATGTTGTATTAATAAGTTGTGGACTGGCAAAAAACAATTTAAGTGGGTTGTGAATCAGGTAGTTTCAACCAAAAACTATGAATAGTCTTTATGACTTGAAACTGGTTTTTAACATATGCAAATCTTTTTAAATTTTTTGGATAAAAGTACATTTTTTATTAGCATTATTTGGGTAGCGTGTCTGCCAAAATTATTCCAAATGACTATTTTAGAAGATCAAGTTTATTCTGATCAAGTTTTTTAATTCACACCCATCTCAAAAATTTTAACAATAAATATAGTTTTGGAATTAGAAGGATACCTAAATAATTAACTTTAAAGAAATGCCCTCACTTTTTAAATGAAGTAATCCAAAAGCATGCAGATTCTTCCCTCCCGCTGGAAGGAGAAAGAATAGCATTTCACTTTATCCTCTCCAAAATGATTTCTGAGATTTTATTTGATGACTTCCACTTGATTCTACTCAATCTCCTGTCTTTTTATAAAACTTCAAAGCCATTTTGTCTAGACTTTCTAAGCCTAACAGCATGTTAGTCAACAGGTTTCATTGCCAAAGATGAATACCTATAACTTAAGCCCATCATTCTTTGCACAGTGGGCTCAAGTTTCTGTGTTCGAACACATGTTGTAGTTCCTTTTCCCATCTGACTCAAATTGAAGATGTCAGCAGACTTCATGCGTGCATTCTGCTTCAGAGGTTTGCATAAATGACGAAGGTCCTCCCAGGCTGACAAACGACATTCCGCTTGTCGCTGTGCAGTTGCAGTAAATGCAATTGAAAGTACTTTCATTTGAAGGCCATTTGACAGAGGGGAGAGAAAATACATTTACTCTTTCAAGGCCTGTGTATTTTCCTGGGAGAAGCCCGCCTATAAAATGTGTCCTTTTATCCTTGGATAGCTATTTGGGAAATATCTTTTGGCAGTTCAGCCCCTGAGTGATTTCCCCAAACTTGGGATGTGAGCCATGATTTACAGACCTGCCCTGAATCTTCCCCACCTTTTTCCTCCTACCTTCTAAAGACTGAAAGGCTGATTCATGCTTGTGTGCCCGATGCATTCTTTTCCACAGAATGAGGTAGAAAATTTGCATATTTTAGCAAAATTATTGAGCTATTTTCATCATAGATGTTTAAGGGAGGAGTTGTTTACTAATATTGAAACAGCACACAAATCACATTGAACGGCTTAAAACTAGTTTTGCTCCCTTAGCAGACGGGGATGAATACAACCCATAAGTTATTTTACAGAGAACACTGCAGACGTGCCCGCCCTGTTCTCCAGCTGCACCAGGAACCAAAGCCTCACCTCTCCCCACGGAACCAAAGGTTCCAGACGTGACTGGAACTTGAATACTGGAAAGTTTTCAGAAGCAAAGGGTCAATGTCCAGGAAGATCCCACGCAGAAGACCCTTATCATAAATGACTGAGTTCCAAAATTCTCAAATTAAAACTTTGCCGTACCAGCACTTGTACATAGCTGTCCCCCAACCCATTAAAACCCTCTGATTGTCTGCCATTGGGGAGTTGGGCTTTAAGCAATACATCTTCCCATTCTCCTTGCTTTGTGCCCTGCAAATAAAGCAGCTCTCATTATTCCACAGCAAAACTCAGTGATCAGGGGCTGGGTCTGCTGTGTTTGTGTCTGGGGGTGGGAGAGGGGACAAAATCTCCTGTTCCATCACTATATCTGTGTATCTGTGATTAGGCTGAGGTAACACAAACACAGCAGACATGGTGCTGCGGATTTCTTTTAGGAGAATTTTTCCGAACGCTCACCGAAATTCAACCAAGGCTACTTTTATCTTCATCAGAGTCATCAGCTAACTCAATACAGCTGCTGGCTCGTACAACCTTTAACAGGACTGTTCCTCACAGTACACAACTCTCACTTTTCAGAATAAAAACAAGAAGAAAAATGCAAAAATAATGCTTGTCCTTTGCTAAACGCTGCTTGGTATTGTGCTTTGGAAAACTTCCCGTTATCTCTGCAAGTCATCACCACTTGGAAGTCACCACGGCTCTGAGCCTGCCCCAGACAGGCACCCGCACTGCGGCTCCCCTTACCTATGAACAGGTTCCACTCCGTGTCCAGGTCGGCCTGATTGGCCAGGCAGCCCTTCATGACGTTGAGGCAGTAGTTGTTGCAGGGACGCACAGCGGGAAGTCCTCGGCAGTACGGGCAGTAGAGCATCTTCATCAGGGCACGGATGCACCCGGGGGTGGGGCTGACCTGCAGATTCACCAAAAAGAAAAGAAAATCTGAAGGAAGGATGCAAGGGAGAATATGATGCAACCCACTCTCTCTTTCTCTTTTTGTTTGATGAAATAGTTCTGGTAAACCTCTAGCAGTAGAACAGAAAGTTAAAGGAACCATCAGAAACAACTCTTTGTAAGACTTGATCTTGAAGCCAGTAATTCCTGTTAAAGACTTGTGTTTGGCACAGTAGTGATCAATTTTCTTGAAATGTCCCCGTCAACATTTTGATATCTATGTCATTGTAATTCAGCACTAAAACCTAGACAGTGTTTCGCTGCAATAGAACATGAAATGAGATAATGCATGGGAAAGCAATTTGCAAAGTTAAAAGCCCCATAGAAATGTAGGTATTATTAAAGTTTAATGTGACACCTTTGGAAAATTTTCCAAGGGGTTATTTGACCCTGTTTCTAAAGGAGGCTGCCAGATATACTTCCTCTGTACATAACTTTTTAAAAAAGGATCAATATCAACTGGTCTGGGATTTCCGAGATCCAAGCTGCTTCGAAGTGACGGCACTGCCAAGGTCCCCGGCTTCGGGCCTTGGAAGCTTTGCAGTTTTGGAACTCAGTGGAGAATGGATCCAGGGCTACATGTGAGGAGTGAACCTTGCAGTATATATAATTCAGAGCAGCCACTAACCAGCTGACAACGACAATAAGGAAAGCCAAACATTCAGATACTGACAAAGAATCATACCTCAACAAAGGCGGGGCAGTAAAAGGTATTTCCACATAAGTGGAGATTATCAACAACTACCGCCAATCTGTCACCTTAGCCTTTGCTAGAAACCACATTTGAAGTTTTTAATACAGGGTCTCGGTTTTTGTATTATTTTCTTACCTTTGTGTTGCACGCTGACCAAGTCCCTAATACATTATTTCAGGAAGGTTTATTTATGTATTTAGGCACTGAAAGTTCTAATTATTTTTTTTTGGTTTGTTTGACACTTCTCCCCAAATTTTATGAAAATTTTCTAACATACAGAAAAGTTCAATGGTTTTCCTAAAGAACACCCATGTTCCCACTCCTAGATTCTACATTTGATATGGTCCCACACTTGCTTTTTAACACATCTATCCATCCTTCTATCCATCTCTCAATCCATCTTGTTTCTGACTCATTTCATACTGATGTCTTTTTGTTTTTAACTTTTTCTGGTCATTTAGTGTTTGCTTTAATAACATAGAATTAACACGATTTACAACAGTAAGTGCATTATGTACTGCAAAGCAAGTAAGTGAAGTAAAATATAATTAGAAATATTTACAGCCCTGGCTGGTGTAGCTCAGTGGATTGAGCGTGGGCCTGGGAACCAGACAATCGCGGCTCGATTCCCAGTCAGGGCACATGCCAGGGTTGCAGGCTGGTTCCCTGCAGGCCAGTTCCCAGCAGCAACTGTACATTGATGCTTCTCTCCCTCTCTCCTTCCCTTCCCCTCTAAGAAAGATAAATAAATAAATAAATAAATAAATAAATAAATAAATAAATAAATAAATAAAAGAAATATTTACAGAATAGTTTCATTAGAAATGAAACTATTAGAAATAGAAATATTCATTAGAAATACTTAGAGAATAGTTTAATACCATTTATACTAAAATTTATTTCCCAACAGTAAAGCAGAAACAAAAAGGAGAATAAAAGTCAGACGCCCAGTGACTCTCGAATGCACATCAATGCCACCATCACCATGTTCTCCAGATGGGCTATTTTGGTGAAAGTGCCAAATTCTATCCATGATCAAGTAGTATTTTTTTTAATTTTCCTTTATCTACTCTATTCTAAGCCAGTTACAGAAACAGAGGAAATATTCTGGATTCTGCATACAGGATCAGTGTGGAACTTCAAATTCTTACCCATTTTACTTAGTTGGTGTGGTTTCGGTCCCACAAAGCTTTGTTCACGGGATTTTGTTTCCCACAGGCTTCCAATTTCTCTCTCGACCCTGAAGCCTTTCCCCAGAGACCTCCTGACTTTCATGAGCTGGCTAAGTAATTTCTTCCTTCGACTCGGCTGGATTTTTTGATTTCCTTGCCATTGGGATTACATAACACGCTGCTTCTCCTCACTCAGTGTGCCGGGGGGAAACCCGGACCAGCCGACAAAACTGGGGGTGAAAATTTGAGACCCCCTGGACAGGGCGGACTCCTTTGCATCACCATGCCCTCTACCACTCTGTAAAACATGCCCATCACTATCAACTGTTATGATTATGATGCAGGTCCTCAACAAGAGCTCTCTGAATTGGACCCTCTTCTGGGTTCCCCAGTTCTTTCCCCGCATTGATATTGATGGGAAAAACAAGAAGCAGATGGTGGTTTACCTCTCACGTTAAATTGTTTGGTTTTTAACTTTGTTTTTAAAGGTTATTTATTACATTAATTCCACAGCTTTGTTTTTTTACTTTTATTTATTTATTTTTATTGTGTTGGAACCAGTACAGTTTTCTCAGTCTGACATTTAAGAAGAGTCTCCAATCAGGGTAGCAACCAACAGAGAAAATTGAACAGCCTTGGTAATCTGAAAGAATGTTGTTCAAGTGAAATGTGGCTCTCTCGGCACTTTTGGAAATGACATCCTCCCTGGTCACATACAGGCCGTTTGGAGAAGAAAATGCAGAGTATCGGATCAAAGTGGAAGCTTTTATGTTCACAGACCCTAGTTTTGGAATTGATACAATTGCATACTTGAATTAAAATTTTTAAAAAAATCATCACTTCAAACTGAGGACTTTTAGAAGTCAGTCTCTGAAAAGAAGGTCATTTAAATGCCGATTCTGTGAAAGGACATTTCTCTTTTTAAATGTTTAATGACATTTTAAAATTGTGTTTTACCTACTTGAAAAACATCTTTTTATTTTCAAATCAATATAGACTGACAGGAAGTTGGAAAAACAGTAGCGTCCTGGGTGCCCTTCACTCCCCTCCCCTCAAAGGCAATGTCTCATAAAGCTGTAGTACAATATCACAGAGAGGAACTTGACATTGGTACACTGCTGCTAACTAGTATAGACCTTACTTTACTCTGTTCTTACGATTTGTTCTCCTTGCATTTGTTTGTGAGCATGTGTGTGCATGCGTATTGCGTACACTTCTATGCAGTTTTATCCTATGTACAGTTTTGTAATTCCACTACAATCAACACAGAATTTTTCCGTCATGAGATAAGGGCCCTCTTATGCTATCTACCTCCCGCCCCCAATCCTGTCACCTAGAAGTCTTGCCACTAACCTCTTTTCCATCTCTATAATATTGTCCCCTTCAAGGATGTTTTTTAAATGGAATCATGCAGTATGTGACCTTTTTAGCTTCACTTTTGAAAACTGAGCGTAACACCCTTGCCAATGCCCATCCAAGCTGCTGCGTGGATTCCTAGTTCACTCCTTTTTATTGCTGAGTAGTGTTCCATGGTTTGAATGTAGCAGAGTTTGTCTGCCTGTCCACTCTTTACTATTAGGAATAGTGCTTGGCTATTAGGAATAAAACTTCTATGGGCTTGCATGCACAGGTACTTGCACAAATGTTAAGTCTTCATTTCCCTGGGATACATGCTCAGGAGTACACTGGATGAGTCAAATGGTTAGTGCATGTAGAATTTTGTAAGAAACTGCCAAACTATTTTCAAGATTGGTTGTTAACATTTTTTTATGTCCATCAGCAATGTGCGAGAGACCCAGTTTTCCCCACATCAGTGCCAGTAGTTGGTCTTATCACTGTTTTTTTTTATTTTGGTTATTTGAATAGGTGCATTATCTACTTTCAAATTCATAGTGAGTTTGCTCTGAATGATGCCCATACTTGTATTACAGCCACAATAAGTTCTAGTACATATCAGATCCATAACATTAACCAGCTGATCTCTGGAATATACACATTATTAAATGTGTATATTTACTTCACACATTACTACTTCAGCAAATTCTGAAATAGTAATGAGTCCGTATACTTGGCAACATCAAAATAAAAGAGTTTTAAAAATTCACATTTAAAATTTAAAATAGCCTGCTTCTCAAACACATATCACCACAAATTTGTACGTTTGGTGGATTATTAATTTTTTTCTACTGAAGAATATTGTGTTCATTGAGCAACAGTAAAGAATACAATCCATCTTGAGAAACAAAATGTTGAATTTTCTTAATAGTTGGTGATAAGGAAGGAGGTGAATGGATTAGCTAAAGGGCATGTACGCATGGCCCATAGACATGGGCAATGGTGTGGTTGTGGTGATGGCCTGAGGGAAGAGGGGGTGAGGCTGGGTGGAGGGGCTATGCAGGGACAACTGTAATAGCATAAGTAATAAAAAATACAGAAAAAAGAAAAGGAAATAAAATGTAGCTGTAGCTTCCTAGATATTCAAAGTATATTAGGGAATAAAGTTAAGTAAAATGGCAAGTTAATGTTCATAAAAGTGGCAATAGCTTGGTAAAAAAAAGACAGTTTGCCAAAGTAAAAAAAAAATAGTAAGTTGTGATTGATAATCTTTTTGCACTTGGTTGCTTTCTCATGTAACTTTTGCCCTTCCCTAGTAGGAATCCTTTGTCGGAAGAGGGAAAAAAGCAAACAGCCCCTGGTTCCTACCCCAGTGTCCTACTTTGGAAGGATAGACACAAGTTTGTGAATCAATCAAGTACAATTTCAATATCAAATCCTTCCACCTTGGACTCAGTTCTTCTGTTGACTTGTTGTGATGCAGTTTGTACATAAGAAATGACTTGTAAATGATCATTTTAGGGTTGATATTATAATCGACTAATTTTGAGAAGTACTATTAAAATTTGGTGAATAATAATATAATTTATAACTAAAGGTTCTTTGTAAAATAATTCAAAAAGAAATGAAATAACATAATATTTGAACGCGTAGTTTGTAACCTGGTGAGTTTTTTGTTGCTATTTGTGTTTCTTTTTCAAAAGGCTAAAACGAGATGCAAGGAAACATGGCAATGAACCCAGAAGGTGACCTTCATAT